TTGAAAAAAAATAATGATGAAGAAACTTTGTGTAGTGGTCTATCCAGCATATTTTATGAAACAACGATTACAAACTGCTATAAATGCTCAATTACAAAACGTATAGTGCAATGAAATCGGGAAAAAAGGCAAAATTTTTTACAAACTTTGTAATAAATGTTCAAAAATTAGTTTTTCCCGCGTAAAATGCTCTATTTAGGGTTTTAAAAAATTGTACATTACATGGCAGGTCCTCGTTGCAGGCCACCTGAGCAACTTTGGTTTAATTACCCAAGTTGACTTCCACTCGAAAACAAGAAGTTGTCGGATCAACTCGAGCTATAGCTCATTCGATAGAGCTTGAAAAGTTGTTCAAGGTTATGAATGTTGGTTTAGCTGTTTCGGGGGTCCCAAGGGGTGTTTTGGGGCTTCAAAGTTGGAAATCAAGTGCAGCGCGCAGACGTCGTTGTTTTCGCGGAAATAGCACGCTAACCGCGGAGAGATTGACAGCACGAGCACGCTGCTTCGGTGAAAACAGCGGAAGAGTACTGCCGTCCTATCTGACCAATCAGCGGGAGAGTGGGCGTGGCCACTTCGGACGGGAGCCTCCGTGAAAGCTCGATCGCTGGCTGTTTTCAGTGCATTGGGGGAACTGTTGACTGCAGCTCGCTTCGTAGTGGGGCGATTCGAGTGAAATTTTGAGAATCGGGACAGAGTTGGGATGTGGAAGAATCGCTAGGAATTTGAGTTTGATTGTGTGGCGGAGAAAAAAGTTGGCATTTGGTGGTTTTCAATCATTTTGGATGGATTTTAAAGGCTTAGTTGATAAATTTGACGGCTGGCCGTCGTATGCGACGGCTCACCTATCGCATCTGATCTATGGTGACTGACGCGTTTTGAAGGCTGTCTAGATGCTTCCTTACGAAAACACAGGCTGCCCTGGAATAGGCTGACAGTCGGAGTCGCTACACACCGTTAATGGAGCCAAAACTTTACGGGCTGAGAAAAGCATGGATCATGAAATGAATTTTTATGAAGTTTCTATAAATGATTCAGTTATTGAGAAGAATGAGTGGGTAGGAAGGGATTTGGTGTAGACCAATCCCTTTCGGGATACGCCATGTATTCAGAACTGAGGCGGAGTTTCAACGTGAGGTGCATGGGCGCACTACTGGAACCCTTCAGCGAAATCAAAACATGGTTTCGTGGCACATACATGCGCCCCTACAACATGTACTAACCAGCCGAGACCTAGGACTTGATCCCCGGACTGCGCACGAGGTAAGCAGCACCGCTTGCCACCATATAAATTCCTTTCGAAAAAGCATTGAACAAAAACAATTGGTACGGAGTCGGTTTATCTACTCAGGATTCATCAGGGAGGATAAAAAATGGTAGAACTGAGCGATCAGCGGGCTTAAAACCACTGTGTAGGATGGACATGCACTCAAAATTGTTCTACAGTCATAACCAATGCCAGAAGCGTGGCGCAGCTCAAACAAGGGGATTGGTTGCGACACGATCGCTGCCTCTTTCCTTTTTTGTTCAGAATTTTTCTTGAAAACCTCCTACTCCAGTTCAATCTGACAAATGAATTGATGTCTAATTTTGCATGGCATAAGTTCATCTTCAATGTCATTTGAAAGATGAAATATACGACGGAAACCATGCCGGGCGCTTGCTATTAATATTTTGAAGTCAAAAGTGCTCTCAGAAAACCTACTCGCGCTTTTTCCAATTTTTGCAAACTTTCTTTCTCAAACACCCAAACAATCAGTTGTGCCACACATATAAAATATGAAAGCTCAAAACATTTTCTTCGATCAACCCGTTCTGGGCTGCGCCATGCATTCTACTTCGATTTGGCCTGCAATGATTTGCAGGGTCCTGTTCATGAACGAGTCACTGTTTTATCCTCCCAGTCAAGCCGCGCACGAACACACTAGTCCGGAGGGATGTAAGGCTTCGTTGATTTGACCGTCGCACGACCCAGGATTTAATCCCCAAACCGCAAACGTGAGAAGAAGCGCTACTTGCCACGGCACTACTGCTGCTTGCTGGTTCGCACATGCAACGTAAAATTCGTGAAATTGTTAATTATTTAATAGGAGCTTTCAGAAATTACAAGCACAGATAGTGGGATAGGATCTAAACCCGATTGCACGAATCTGAGCAATAATTCAATGCAGCGCTTGCCACATGAAAAGATCGTGGAGCACTTCGGTTATTAAGGTCTTCCTTTCCTCATAGACACAAGCACAGGCTTGATGGGAACGGCTTGTGGCCAGAATAGGCCTATGAATTTCTCCTCAGTAGCTGTGAGGCCCACCCTGTCTAAAACGTCCGACAACACCGCGACCTCCACAGCCAACGGTCTAGCTGGAGAGGTTGGGTGGCTCAGATAATTACTTTTCCAGCCCAGATTGTCAGCCGTTTGTAGCAATCCGCGATCATTCACATGTGTCGAGAAGCATGCCTATCAGCATCACGATCTTGGAAACTTTTCAACTTTACATGATTAAATGGGAATTTTTGAAATTTGCAGCTCTTCCTCCTCCACGACCGAAGATACCAACTTGTGCGCTATTCACGCCAAACGTGTCACCATCATGCCCAAGGACATCCAGCTGGCCCGCCGTATCCGTGGTGAACGAGCATAAGCAACCGAGTTGAACTCAATCTAACCCAACGGCCCTCTTCAGGGCCACAATCGCATAACTAAACGAATACATGATTTCTCAGTAGGAGAACTGATATCACTTGGAATAAATATCTATGATTTGTTTGTTTGTTTGTCTTCCTATACACTGAAAGTGGTCTGAGAGAAGAAAAGTGTATAGCTCATGAAATGGTGAAGAATTTTTTTCCTGGTGTTGGAATGAGTAGAATGCTGACGAGGGAAGAGGGGTGACGCTGGTGTAGTTGATTGTGGGGGCCCCACGTGGTGACCTGGCGAATGCGTATATAAGCGACGGGCGCGCGTCGAACGGCATCTCATTCGTGAGTACAACTGCTCGATCGCAACAATGTCCGGACGTGGAAAAGGAGGCAAGGGACTCGGCAAAGGAGGAGCCAAACGCCATCGCAAAGTTCTTCGTGACAACATCCAAGGCATCACCAAGCCGGCAATCCGTCGTCTCGCTCGTCGTGGTGGAGTGAAACGTATCTCTGGTCTGATCTACGAGGAGACTCGTGGAGTTCTGAAGGTGTTCCTTGAGAACGTGATCCGTGATGCGGTCACCTACTGTGAGCATGCGAAGAGAAAGACCGTCACTGCTATGGACGTCGTCTACGCCCTGAAACGCCAAGGACGTACCCTGTACGGTTTCGGTGGATAAGAAGCTGATGTGCTGATCGAAACATTCATACATCTAACCCAACGGCCCTCTTTAGGGCCACAATTGAAACGTTAACGAATACATATTGCATTGGAGATTGAATAAAAATTATTTGATTAGTTGTGTGAATATTGTGTGTTGCAATGTTTGCAGTAGTAGCGCTATCTGTGAATTTGTTAAAGATCAACTAAGGAAAGCTTGTGATCGCCTTTAAACTTTATCCAATGTTCGCAAAAAAAAAGATTTCTAAGAAAAAACTTCATCCAGATCACACAACAAATAAGTTCATAGAGAGTTCACATCAAAATGGGCAAGTACCCTTGAAAAAATAGGATGATTAGTCTGCTCCTCATTCTGCTCCATTGTAGACGATCGGGCAAGAGTAGGTGAATCACGCGCACTTATGGTCTAATGAATAACTGTGCAGCCATTTGTTCGCTTGCGAATTGGACGTACTGATCATGTTGCTCTGGAACATTGCTCATTGATCGCGATATTGAATAATGAGAAGGGGAACATCAAGGAAGAAAAAACTTGAAAGGAATTTACCGTCTCGTTTCTGATTCAGGGCCAGTTCATACTCGTACCGCAGACGCATTTCCTGCTCCTTTAGGAGACGCTCGCAAATCATCCGTACCTTAAAGAGTATAATTGGGAGTTTCAAAACAACGGTTCCACCAAGGAGAATGAATTGACCATACCTGTTTGAGACTGAACTGAGGTTTCTCTGCAAGTGCTTGGTAATTGTTGGTGCCACTTTTTCGGACGCTAGAACCCTCGCCTTCTGAATCTGATCCGGACTGAAAAAAATACATGAGAGTCGGATAGTTGAGTACCAGTTCGTAAAACTGAAATCTGTTTTTCTATAGTACGAGCCATATTTCGATTGTTTCGCATGGAACGACCACAACGATGTCTATTTACGGTTTACGGACTACTTGAACTTTCTTCCATGGTCCTGCCACGAATGCCACGGAGGGCACAGACAGTAAGAACGGCGCCTGGCTCGGCTCCAAATCCCAGGGAAGGAGGTGAGAGCCCTGGACTAAGCCTTGTAGGAGGGAGGGACTTCGAGGTGGGTGAGCCAACTACAGTGTGGCAAAAGTTTGAATGTGTGTGATCACAATGGCCATGATAAGGTGAGAGCGCAGACGTGAGATGGATCTGAGGCGGCTCAAAGGACCGGGTTCAAGTAGTCCGTTAACCCTATTTCTACCTTATAACCACCACGTAAACAAAACATAACCGTGAAGAAATTCCTCGCTGTGGCATTAAAAATACAAAGGGATATGCGAACGCTGGTATTTACAAAACACCGCTTAGACCTTATTTGTGCACAATCAAACAATCTTCCACATTGTGCGAAAACTGAACGCTTTATACAAAGGAGATGAAGTGAGAAATCGTCGTTTCCTTTCATAAGCACCATCGTGAGACCGTTTCGCATATTCATTGAGCAACAA